GCCTGTGCCCTGACCGGGAATCATACAGTGACCTCCTGGTTGGCAGGCTGATACTCAGCCCCTGAGCCCCGCCGGCCGGCCGGGCCCTTTAATCTCCTAATCGCCCTCCTGTCCTGGCTCCAGCGACTCAGAGAGCCCCAGGGGCCGTGGCCAGGGAGGCGGCTCCGGCTCTGCTCCAGTGGGCAAGGCTGGCTGGGCACCGCCCGTCTCCCTCCGAGAAGTGGGCCCCCCGTGGCCTCCTGGCCCGTCCTGTCCTGACAGGCTGGAACCTGCCTCACCTCTCTGCCCAGGTGCTCCCCGCACAGGGAAGCGGCACCCCGTGAGGGCAAGGCAGTGGCCCATGACCGGAGCAGGGCCCTGAAACCCGCTCCCCCCCAGTGACCTCTCCTTGCAGCCTGTCCCGCCCGCCCTGCTCCCAGATCCCAGGAGCAGCCGTGGCCGAGCTCCAGGACGTGCCAGGTGAGCCTGGTGCCCCGGGTGGACCCCAGCTGGTCGAGCCACGACATCCCGGGTGCAGCCAACAGCCTCACGGGGAGTGAGCCAGGCCGGCAGGGCTGGTCAGGATGCAGAGTGCCTGCTCCAGCCTCCAGAGCCTGCAGGGCCGGGAACCCGGGCCTCGTCCAGGGCGCTCTGTGTCTCCTGGTATCTGCCCCAAGGACACATCTGGGAAACGGACAGAACAAGTGACCGTAAATCCCAACATCTCAACCCTAGGATCCCAGAATCTCCCACGTTTTGTCTCTGACCTCCCGTCTCCAGTCCCCCATCTCCCACAGCTGCCCAGTGGGGGACTCATTGTCTCTAAAGACAATGAGACTGGCTGGCTGGCTGGTGGCTCAGTGACTGAGCGTTGACCTATCAACTAGGAGGTCACGGTTCGATTCCTGCTCAGGGCACATGCCCAGGTGGCAGCTCAATCCCCAGTAGGGGGTGCGCAGGAGGCAGCCGATCCATGATTCTCTCATCATTGATGTTTCTCTCCCTCTTCCTCTCCCTTCCTCTCTGAAATCAATAAAAACATATTACAAAGAAAGAAAAAAAGATCTTCCCGGGTCATGCCTCAGTTTGCCTTCCTAGAAAGCTCTCTGCAGCGACTGTGAGTCCACCTGTTCCCGGTGGGCCCGCCCGCCACTGTCCGAGGCCACAGAACAGAGCCACGCAGACCACACGGAAAGGGTGGGAGGGAGACACGGCTTGGTGGGGGGCTGCAGTGGCCAGTGGTGGTGGGGAGACAAGCTCTGGCCAACGGCAGGTACGGGCAGGTCCCCGTGCCCCCAGCGCCTGGCCAACACCCCTGGCGCCACTCCCGGCTTCATCCTTTCAGCACCGCCTTTGATGTGCGGCTGGAGGCTGGAGCGCGGCCAAGTGCGTGGGCCTCCGAGATGTCAGCCTGTTAACACCTGGGAACGTCCAGCCGCAGGACTGGTCTGGCACCCGACGGACCGAGTCCACCTCCCAAGCTCAGAGGCGGATGGCAGCGTGACCAAGGGCCGGGCATGGCTTCTAAGGGACCAAGGCCCAGATTGGACCCCAGCCACTGACGGCCTGGTCTCCTCTTCCTGCCTCAGTTTTCTTTGCCTTTTTAAAAAATATATGTATTTTTATTGATTTCAGAGAGGAAGGGAGAGGGAGAGAGAGACATCGATGATGAGGATCGTGGATCGGCTGCCTCCTGCATGCCCCCCCACACCCCCCTGACTGGAGATCGAGCCCGCAACCCGGGCATGCGCTCTTGACCAGAATCAAACCTGGGACTCATCAGTCCGCAGGCCGGCGCTCTAGCCACTGAGCCACACCAGCCAGGGCCTGCCTCAGTGTTCAGTCTGAAGAGCCGGGCTCGTGACCACGGGTGTGGGGTGGGTCCGTGGTAGCCAGTCAGACGGGCGTGAGCAGAACACGGACACTGAGTCAGGTACAGAAGGTCAGTGTGGAAAGCCCAGGTGCCTAGCAACAGGCAGCATTGGGAAAGCAAGAACCTTGCCCCCAGGGTCGCCTCTCCTCCCCCAGCACCTGGCGGGTCACGCGGCTCAGACCCCCTGACCTTTCCTCCCCGGGCATCAGACCCCCATGGAGGAGGAACCAGGGGCCGAAGAGGGGCCGCCTGTGACCCCCATGCGGGCCCTTGCACGACTGCTCCCTTAAGCATTAACCCTGGTGATGACGTCTAGGCCCCAGCTATGTCTCAGCTCCGGGCCCAGAAGAGCAGCTAGACTAGACGGGAGATGCCACCGGGGACACCCGACCACCTGCATTGACTAATGACCCCCCTTCCCCTCTGCCCCCTCCCCCTCCCCCAGGCCTCCCCCTCCCCTGGGCCTGTTTTCCTTGCCTCTCTCTCCTGAGCTCCAGGGGCCCTTCCTTCGTCCCTGTAATGTGTCCTGAGCCCATTTCTCCTGCGACCCACTTCTACCTCTGTGACTTTCCAAACAAACTTTATCGTTTTTTAAAAATCCTCACCCGAGGGTATTTTTTCCATTGATTTTTTAGAGAGAGAGTAGAAGGGGGAGGGACAGACCGAGAGAAACACCGACGTGAGAGAGACATCGATTGGTTGCCTCCTGCCTGCCCCTGACCAGGGCTGGGAGGCCTGCAACCCAGGTACGTGCCCTTGACCAGAATCGAACCTGGGACCCTTCAGTCCACAGGAGGGCGCTCTATCCACTGAGCCACACCGACCAGGGCTAAACATCACCTTATAGTTTGAATCTTGTCTCTGAATTCTTTTTCTTTTTAAAAAAATGTTTTTATTGATTTTTTAGAGAGAGAGACAGAGAGATAGAAACTTCGATAAGAGAGAGACGTCGATCGGCTGCCTCCTGCACGGCCCCCACTGGGGATCGAGCCTGCAACTCGAGCATGTGCCCTGACCAGGAATTGAACCTGGGACCTCTTGGTCATGGGCCGACGCTCAGCACTGAGCCCCGCAGGCCGGGCTGAATCCAACCTGAGCCAGAACTCCAGCCCCGAGGTTGCTGAATCAACGTCTTGTCTGACTCCCCCGGGCTCACACCTGCCCAGTGAGTCCCGCTACCTATGGCTCCGAAGGCCAGGCCTGCAGCCACCTCTGTCCCTTCCCGGTGAGCAGCTCGGAGCCTGGAAGGCATCAGTGCAGCCTGGTCCTCCCTGCCCCCGGCACCGGCACAGGTAGCAGTTACCGCCTCACCATGTAATTATCTGCCGCGGGTGGGAATAGGGGGCCGAAGGCTGGGTCTCGTCCCCACCCCAGACCTCACCCCTGCTCAGGAGACCACAGAGCCCCTCATTGTTCTTGTTATCAGGTTCACTGTTCGCTGTTGACCTTCCTAGACCCACCCCTGGCCGGCGAGCTTGGCTGGTTAGAGCATCGCAGTGACACGGTCAGGTTGTGGCGCGATCCCGGTGGGCACACACAAGAACAGCCAATGAATCACAAACAAGCGGAACAGATCGGTGGCTTTGTTCTCTCTCCCTTCCATCCTCTCTCTCAAAAACCCATAAGAAACATATTTTTAAAAAGAAACGTGTCTATTCGTTTTTTTCTTTTTTTTTTTAAATTTCAGAGGAAGGGAGAAGGAAAGAGAGAGAAACAGCAATGGTGAAAGAGAATCATGGATCGGCTGCCTCCTGCACCCCCCTCACTGGGGACCGAGCCCGCACCCTGGGCCTGTGCCCTGACTGGGAATCGAACCCAGGACCCTTCTGTCTGCAGGCCGACGCTCTAGCCACTGAGCCAGACCAGGCAGGGCGCTCGGGCCTGCTTCCTCGCAGTGGCTGCCAGGAGACTCAGGGTCCTCTGGGCTGGGGCCACCCCCCAGTGGGCAGAGAAGAAGCCCAAAGGCAGGACAGGTCTTATTCGTTCCAGCCACAGCCCTGCCCCCACCTGCTGAGTCACCTGGACCTTGGCTCCCTGTCACTCCAGCTGGGCCACCACATGGGTAGCCAGGGGCTTGGGAAGCCAGAGGTGTGGCTGTCGCTGTTCACTCCTGACTGCCTCCAGAGGGGCCTGGGGTCCGGCTGTCCCCCCTTCTCCCCCGGACTCTCTGGCTCCCCAACCTCTGCCTCACTGGCTGTCCAATGCGTGGGGCTGCCCAGAGAGAGACCTGTTACAAGCCCCCGAACCTCCATATCGGCCCTGGGGGCTGAGGGCACATTCACAGCCCCCACCCCATGGGATCTCCACAAACACCGCTCTGCTGCCCGGGAAAACCCAGGCCAGTCCGCCAGGAGGAGCGGAAGAGGGAAACAGGCAGCCGGGAAACAGCCCGGAGTTTACAGCCCCTCGTAAGCCCTGCCTTCCCTCGCCAAGGCCACGGGAGTCAGCGCTGCCCTGCTCCTCCCAGCAGGGGATCAACAGCTGTAAATCCCCGACTCGAGATAGCAGAAACCCACGCCCCAGGACGCAGGCAGTTACGGGAATAAATCTTATCTCCACACATCAGCATGAAACCAGGGCTGTTCTATGGAGATCCTCCCCTAAGACCTCTCCCACACGCCCGCCTCTAAAACCCCTCAAATCTGCCCTGGCCGGTGTTGCTCAGTGGGTAGAGCTTCGGCCTGAGGACTGAAGGGTCTCGGGTTCGATTCTGGTCAAGGGCACATGCCCGGGTAGTGGGCTCGATCCCCAGTAGGGTGTGTGCAGGAGGCAGCCGATCCATGATTCTCCCTCATCATTGATGTTTCTCTCCCTCTCCCTCCTTCTCTGAAATCAATAAAAATATATTTTAAAAAACAACAAACAAAAAAACCCCAAACCCAAGGTCCCAGTGCACCTGCTCCCCCTCCCAGAAGCACGTCCCTGTGTTGCCCGTCCCCCTCTCCTCCCCGACAGGTGAGTGGCTCCTAAAGTCTAAGGGTCCGAGGGGAGCCCTGGGCAGTGGGGCTCTTCCCAGGCTCACCGCCCCCCCCCGACGCTGTCTCCCGGGGCCCCCTTTTCTCTGACTCCCCGTGAGCCAGGCCGCCCCCCTCAGCTCCCTTTGCTCCTCTGTCCTTGGCCTTCCTGTTCCTGGTGCCGGCTCACTCACCGTCCTCTAGATCCCCTGGGTCCGTGTTGTGAAATCTTCCCCACACGGACTCAGGATCCCCACATGCCGGTCGCCTGGGCAGATGGGCTCGGGGCCAGGTCCCCTTTCGGGAAATGGGGCGGCAGCCCTTCGGTTACACACACACACACACACACACACACACACACACACACACACAGACCAGGGAGGGGGAACGGCTCCTCCCCAGGTTACCGCTCTGGCCCTGGAGGCTCCTGCCACATCAGGTTGGGCCAGAAAGAGTGCCCCAGAGCCAGCCCCACGTAACCGCCCCCACGGGAGGCTGAGGGAAACCCAGCTAGGATCTGCGCCCAGACGCCCCCCCCCGCCCCCCCCCCCCACCGCGGTCTTCTCATTTTCGAGGTGACCATGTCCAGGCCTGGCTCAGCCTCTGGAAGGATACTGTCAGGACCTGGGAGCCATCCCGGGTCTGGCTCCAGCCCCGAGTGGGTGGGGGAGGGAGCGGCATCTTACCAGGCTGCCAGCTCTGGACGGGGGTCTGACAGGTCCCTGGAGTTCTGGCCCCTGTCACCACCACGTCAGGGCAGAGGCAGCACAGGCCCAGAGGGAAGGCAGGACGGGCAGGTTTGCCAGAGAGGAAACCTGTGGTGCCAAGGTGGCCCCAGGGAAATGTTGGCACGAGTAGTGGGAGGGGAGGCCTCCGGGTCCAACCGGCCGCTGCCAGGAGAGAGGAGAGCCAAGGGTAGGAAGGCCCGGGAACAGGTCCAGCGGGGGTGCCCGCGCAGGCAGCGAGAGGGGTCGGGTCCAGTGGGTGTCAGGGCATGAGGGCACTGCGTTGTGTCCGGGGCTCGGCCTGGGAAGACACACAGCCCACCGCCCTGTGCCCAGACACACCCCGGGCAGCTGGTGCCTAAACCCTGGGGAAGGAGCCTCGCTCTGCCCACATCTTGCCAGGTGCCTTTGGGGTCCCCCCACCTCCCCCGAGCCTGCCAGCACCTACGCCCGGGCACACCGACCTCGCAGGTGGGACAGGCCCTGCTTGCTACCCAAGCATGTGATGAGGCCAGACTCCTGCTGAGGGAGCCCTCCAGGAGGGGGACACACCAGGAGCCGGGCAGGACCCTCGCTCAAACCTGGTGCCCAGAGGAACCAAGGCTCCCCCTCCTCACACTTCCCTGCTTGAGGGAGGAAACGCAAAGCCAGGGGCAGGGCCAGGTGCCCAGAGCCCGCGCCAGCCTGCCCCGAGCCTGGCTTAACCGTTAACCAGCATGCCTCACCCCGTGTCCCTCCCAGCTGGAGATCAGGAACCTGGGTCGGAGGGGACCCGCTGCACCCTCTGCCCAGGCCTGTGCGCAGCCAAGCAGGGAGGGCGGTCAATATTTGTCCTGCGGGAGTGTCCCGAACTACAATTGCTCGGGGCCGGGCTGACTCCTGGAAGCGGGACTGGCACCGCCCGAGGCTGGCAGACAGCTCCGCGGAGCCCCGCTCACAGGCAGCCCGTGGCCAGCAGGGCTCAGAGGCGCCAAGCGCCACCGCGTCCTGGCCGGGCTCGGCGACACCGCGGCCGCGAGAACAGAGCTCCAGGGCGGGCCTGCTCGGGCGGGGGCTCTCCCCCAGCGAGACCCGCGCGCAGGACCGCCCCCCGCCCCTGCCCGCGCCCCGGCTCCGGCCCCGCAGCGATGCGCAGCCCGGGCCCCGCGCTCCCCACCAGGCGCGTCTAGGGCTGGGGGCGGGGGCCTGAGCGGCCGGGGGCGGGGGCCTGAGCGGCCGGGGGCGGGGCCTGAGCGGCCGGGGGCGGGGGCCTGAGCGGCCGGGGGCGGGGCCTGAGCGGTAGTGGGCGGGGCCTGGTATCGGGGCGGGGCCCGAGCGGCCGGGGCGGGGCTCCGCCGGCCCGGCCTCCTGCCTGTCCCATGCCCGCCGCCCTGCACCGGTGGGGGCGCGTCCGGGCCGGCGGTGCGGACCCGAGGCGAGCACGGAGGCCAGGGCGGCGGGGTGCGGGCCCGCGCCCTCGGAGCGCAGCGCCGGGTGCGCTGGTTCCCGAGATCCCTTCCACGCTCCACGAGCGGCGGCCCGAGCGCGCCCGGCAGCTGCTGCGCCTCCTGCGCCAGGCGAGACAGGGAGCGGCCGCCCGAGCTGGAGTCCAGGGAGCGGCCGGGGCAGCGGGCCTGGGAGGGGCCCCGAGGCTGCCCCAGCGGGTTCCGAGGGGAGGGTACCGCTGGCTGCACGGGTGGGAGTCTAGTCTGGGCGACAGGGAAGGCGGGAGGCGGGCAGCAGGCTAGGGTGAGGGCCGCCCAGGCCAGAACTGATGGTGGAGGAGAGGGCAGGGGTGCCCATGCCTCTGAGGTTAGAGGTCAGTTGTGTGTTGAGGGTGCTCCAGGCCAGGAGCTAAGAGCCCAGATCCAGGCCTTGGCCGGGAAGGGGCGGGGGTGCTGGAGGAGTGGCACCCGTGGGTGTCTTGTATTGAGGGCAATGGAAGCCCTCAGCGCCCCACCCCCCCTCCAGGGAGAGGGGGGACTGGGCTCTGGGAAGCTAGAGCCCGGCCGGTCAGCGATGCCTCCTTGCCATGTCACCCTGGCAGCCCAGGCAGCACCCATCCTCCGAAGGGCAGCTCCCGCCCACTGCGTACACCCCCCACTGGCACCTGTACGTCACACCACATCTGGACAGGCCAGGGCTCCCCCCCCCCCCCCCCCACACACACCGGGAACCTGAGTCCCAGACCCAAGCCCGGGGTTGCCCTAGTCCTGGTTCCGGTCCCAGCATCATCACTAGGCATCGCCCTGCCTCTCTGCCCACAACCCCTACCCCTGCCCCCTGCCGTGAGCCGAAATCAGCCCCGCGTGCCTTTGGCCTGCACGTGGGTGATGGAGGTGGGAGCCGGGCGGGCGTGGAGGACAGTGGTGAGCCAGGGCAGCCTGGGCACCAGCCAAGGCCACAGCCACGCCTCCAGCCTCCCAGCCCCCCCTCTCCTGCTGCACTCCTCTCAGGGTGGAAGGGAGCGCCTGGCCCTTTAAGAGGAGCTGTCCAGACCAGCAGAAAGCAGGCTGCGGTCTGGGGCCCTGTCTGGGTCAATCCACCCCCCCCCCCCCCGCCCCCCAGCTGGCATCTGGGACGCCGCGAGCGTGAACGGTGTTTAAAATGTAAACGGCAGAGCTGCGAGGTGAATCAGCCAAACTCTCCAGAGGCACAGATTTCCACCTGGGACGGCACCTGGAGCCCAGGCACAGCTGGGCATTCTGGGAAACAGCTAGGTTGCCCCCTCGTGTCCAAGAGGCTGGGATTTGAGGTGCAGTGAGAGGCCTGTCCTGCCCCATAACCCACAGGGACTCGGCAGTTGAGGCCTTTGGGTGTTCCCTCCTGGCCCCTCTGCCTCTGTGCCCCGGGGCTTATGCATCAAACAGGGCACCCTCGGCTGGGGGACACACGTGGGTTCTGGGGCCCCTCCGCCCTGTGCCTGCCCCACCAGCTTGCCCGCCTCTCCTCTCACCGGACACTCTAATGAAAGCCTTAGCGCCAACGAGCCCTGGGTGAGAGTAACAGGAGGCCAGGCGCCTCGACGGCAGGGTCTATGCAGGGAGGAGAGACTTGGAGACGAAACAAGGAAGCTGGTGGGCCCGGGAGGGAGATGCCAGGCCCCTGAGAAGATGGGGATGGTGACATCCCTTACTGAGCGGGGGCACGGCTGGGGGGTGGGGGCAGCTTCAGGACAGACGGACACACCCAGTCTGAGCTGAAGAGGTGGAAGAGGCAAAGGCTCCCGAGAGAATTGGAGGACAGTGGCCTTTGGGGGTCATCCGAGGAGCCCCCAAAGGATCTCCCAGACAAGCCCAACCCCAGCGTGGTGTTTCACCTCCAGGGAGCCGACTAAGGGCCCTGGGACCTGCTTATCACCCCTCTGATCTCCCTGCTGCACCGCCCCTCTCACCTGAAAGGTCCCCTGGGCCTTAGCCGGTTTTGCTCAATGGATAGAGCGTCCGCCTGCGGACTGAAGGGTCCTGGGTTCAGTGCCGGTCAAGGGCACACGCCTGGTTTGCGGGCTTGATCCCCAGTGTGGGGCGTGCAGGAGGCAGCCGATCAATCCATGATTGTCTCTCATCATTGATGTTTCTCTCTCTCCCTCTCTCTTGCTCTCTGAAACCCATAAAAGTATATTTTTAAAAGACCCACCTGGCCCTGGACAGCAAGGCTTAGGGAGAGAGATGGAGAGGGCAGTGGATGGGAGGGGCTCTGCTGGCCGGGAGGGGGCCCGGACAAGGACAAGGGTGGCCCGACTCCTGGTTCACTCAACTGTTCACCACCCACAGGATCTGGGCCTCGAGGGGACCCTCCTCACCGCCACCCTCTACGGAAACATGCCATCCTCGATCTGGTGGACCCCATCTCCCACGACCTGCACGTGACCCTGGCCTGGGACCTGCAGTGCCCCAAGAGGGTGAGGCCGGTGGGCAGTGCCTCGGGCGAGGTGGTTTGATTGGCAGGGGGCAGGGGAGCCCGGGACTCATGGGCTTGCTGCCGGGCCTTGGGCAGGTCAGTGCCCCCTCTGGACCCGGTGCCAGTTTCAGGGCGTTAGGCTGTGTTTTTCAGCCCTGAAAAGGCATGTGCTAGGTCGGCCTGAGGCAAGCGCCGTGCCCCAGGCCCTGAGGCCCGGCAGGCAGTTGTACGGGACGCTGCGGGCGGGACACAGAAGGTCCTGACCCCAACTCCCAGCCTCCGCTCCTGGACCAGGAGAGCCGCCCTCCCCATCCTCAGGTCCCCTTCCTGCAGGGATTCCCTTGGGGACAAGGGCTCACTGCTTCCCACAGCACCGAGAGCCACAGGCAGGCCCCTCCTCCTGGTGAGTGGCACCTGCTACCAGCAGCCTCCCCCACCCCCAGTATGCACCCCGTCTTCCCAGAACCCGGCTCTGAGGGCACCTGCAGACATCCCGCCATGAGCATAGGAGGTGCCAGGCTCCTGACACAGCCTATGGCCGGCCCCACCCCCACCCCCACCCCTTAGTCCCAGTGAGTCCCGCGTGAAACCGGGCACCCGTCCCGCGTCCTGCCGGCTCCAGAACTCCCACGTCTCTATGCAGCCATCACCAAGGAGGCAGAGGTGGCCTTGAGCCTTCACAGTGACCCCTGGGGCTGGCAGCTCCGTGTGCGCACGCTGGGACAGAGCTGATAGAGAACTCGTGGGTGGGAGCGTGCCCGGTGCCAGCCTCCGGAAGCAGGGCACCCGGTTCTGCCCACGCTGGGCCTCCGCAGGGGCGTCCTGCACCATGTTAACCCTCCCAGCGCGGGCAGCCCAGACCCCGGCCCGGCCCCGCAGAAGCGGCTCGAGGGAGAGGGAGGGGGAGCAGAGTGTGCTGACCTGGCTCGTTCCTAGCCTCTGGGGGTGGCGTCAGGGGAGCGGGGCTCCCTGGAGGGGCTGGTCCTGCCTCCCCTGGGACAGTCCCCGGGGAGCTCGGAGGGTGGGCAGCGAGCCCGCTGATAGCCTGAGATGCTGGCCCGGGGCCTGAGGACAGGGAACAAGGGCCCATTGTCCGGGCTTCCTCCCGCCGGGCACTGCGGGCCTCAGACCAGCCTGCTCAGCTCCGGCGGGCAGCCTCCCGGGCTCGGTGCCAGGCCACGGCTGGGTCGGGGTGGGCAGGGGAGACGGTGGGCAGCTCAGGGCTCCATGA